TAAAAATGTTTTAAGTCCCTACTACATGCCAGATACTGTTATTGGTTTCAGGGCTACAAGTCTCAATAATTTTAACAAGGTGTCTTTTCTCTGGAAATACAAAGGCAGAGAATCAAAATAAACCACTTAATTTTAAATAATAATGAGTTCAGTAAAAAAGAAAAAATATATATATACCAGAGGACATAAAGTGAAGAAAGTTGTATTTGGTTTATTTTACTGTTTAGTGCAGGGATAAATGTAAGCTCATTATGTACAAGAAGTACAGGAGGGTCTTGGTGAGGTGCAGGAATGTGAAGAGAACGAGCATCAGGAAATGGGCCAGATGCTACAGGGCCTGCAAAGGCCACTGTAAGTTTATATTTTAAATCTAATGGGAAACCCTGGATAGACTGGAGTGGAGAAATGATGAGGCTTAATTTAACCTTTATTAAAGCTTCCTGTAGTGGCTGTGTGGAAAATAGACTGTGAAGAGGTAGCTGGGCAAGGAGAACAGTTAGGAAGTTACTGAGTCACCAGGAGAAGTTGGCAAAGCTGAATGTGGAGAGTGGTGGTTGATTTCCGAATGCATCTTGAATGCTGAGCTCAGAGTACTTATTCGATGTATTCAATAAGCATCTCAAAAGATTCAGTGACCAGAGACTATCAGGACTGGGAAATATTATGTTCTTTCAATAGAATAGGGAGTTCTTTCTCATACTACCTCAGTATGAAATAATGGAAATTAGAGGAGATTATATAATGCTATACAATGAAAGCAAAACCACTAGGTAGTCATTTGACCCTGACAGTTTATAAAGAAACAGGAGCCATACACACTACAACAAGCTAAAATATCACATTGATAGAAAGCGAACAAGCGCCTTAATATTCTACTTCCTGCAGGAGTGAGTCACTTAGCAATGTGCTGATTTCACAAAAAGATTAGATACTTGTACATTTTGGTTGCTTTAACTCAAATCATGTGAGTCTTAATGGGACTTGTAGATTTTAATTTCTAAGTGACATAATTTTAGTGTAATGTGACCAAGGGTATAATCAGGCTGTTAATGTGGACTTCTGTGTTCTTTTCATTTTACAGCATATTGAGAAGAGAAAAAGTGAGGACAATGACAGTGGGATTTCCAGGATTAAAAGTAAGGTTATTGTAGCACAACAGTTTTTAAACAATAGTCACATTGTCTTATTTACTTTCTTGTCACCGAGACACAATGCCTGACATCCACAAGTCAAAGGAGGAGATGTTTATTCAGCTCACAGTTTGTACAGGTTTCAATCCTTAGTCATCTGGCTTCTTGTCATGACTGGGGTCATGGTGGAAGAGAAACAGCCCATGGCATGGCAACAGGAAGTATAGAAAGATAGAAGAGAAGGAGGGAGAGAGACCCTTTCAGGCCATGCTGCAATGACTGCCTCTGATGCAGAGAACCTATGTAAATAATCTAAAAACCTACAAAATGTAAAGTGACTTCTGTCTCTAACAGCAATCTGCTTTGTGCAGTTCAAAATTAACAGACACTGGAGTAACTGCCCATGAAGTGGGACATCTGGCCTCATCCCTAACCTTGAACACCCCTTCCTGTGAACTAGGATAGCTAGAGGAATCTTAAGGGAAACTCCCCAACTGCAAAGAGCTGCTACCTCTGTGCTAAAGTTAACTATCTTGTGACCATGATGTGAACTATGAGAATGAAATGTAACCACCCAGATAAAGTCAAGGCTGTGAAACCCTATAAAAGGAGGAGTCGTAACCCAGTTTGTCATCGATTCAGGCACAGTTTATGTGCGATCGACCCTAGTCGATGAGTAAATTTGTTATTTTATTTCCATTCTTCTGTTTCGCTGTGTGTCACTTGCAAATTCCTTCTGTAACGCCTCTTCCTACCAGGATTCACCTCCCAACATCACATTAGTGGTAAGCTCATCTATGGACTCACCCACTGGTGAGAACCTCACCCCCATGACACCACTACTTCTAAAAAGGCCCACCTGCTGGTTCAGAGGCTTCGGGTGACAGCTAGGTACAAGTACTTTGTAGAACGATTTCATTTGACTCTGTGTGTGTGTGTGTGTGTGTATGTGTGTGTGTGTGTGTGTGTGTGTACACATGTGTCTAGGTGGAGAGGTTGGAGGATGAAATAACACTCCATCTTTGTAACCTGCTCTGTGCAAATAGAATTAAAGGCTATGAAATGTCAATTAAAGAGAAAGAAAGAAAGAAAAAAAGAAAGGGAAGAAAAGATAAACAAAGCAAAAACTAAAAAGATGAAGCCTTCCAATCCGATTAGCTTCCTTAGCCAGTCACTTCACCAAGCAACTTGCCCCCATCTCTTGGTCCAAGCCTGACTCTTAGTTATGTCTTATAGAACTAAAAGAATGTGAACGTCACAAACCACTTTTCACCTCAAAGGTCTCTGTGTGTATGGTGGTGATGAAAACAGAAAGCCAGGGATTGAGATTTCAGGGTTGGAATCTGTTTTCCACACTGGCCAGCTATGTGTGACTTGGAAGTTATTTTACTCCTCCTCTGCAAAGAGTTGGGTGACAGAACCTCCCTGAAAGGATAAGAATTTATAAGAATTTGGTGAGAGAGGGCTGGGTAGAGTACCATAAGAAAGAGTTCAGTAAATTACTGGACCCAGCAGAATTTGGTGTGAAATATAAGCTAAAGGATAAATAATAAAACAACAACTGAATACTTGTTGAATCTCTGTGGTGTGGTTGGAGATGTGATGAAGTTATGCCTTTTCATTGGATTCAAAAATTCTGAAAAGCATGTATCATTGGATCAATTTAAAAATGAGATTGGTGAAGCTCAGAGAGGTTAAGCAACATGGCACAATCACACAGCTAGTTGTAGGTGCAAGAAGGCAGATTTGACCAATGTGCGAGCCGGGGAAGTAGCATCTCATCCATGATATATACACATTCTGTTAGGCCACCTTAGTGAAGCCTCTGCTCTGAATCCACAGAACAGTCCTTGCTTTGCCACTTTCATTTTGAACAATGAAATATATCAAACCACAGTGCTATATCTACTTCATGCCTTTAGTGTTGCCATAGTATCGATACTCTCCTGGGGCAGCTCAGAGCAGCTCACACTAAAAAAGAAAAGCCATTAATCAGATATTGGTTCTTGGGAATTCCCGTGCCATACCCAGCTCAACGTTAGAGCTGATAGTATGCTTTATTTGCAAAAGCAAAAATTATAAATATAATTGCCTTGCATTTAGAAGAGAATATGTATTGGTAAAGTGCTCACAGATTACTTAGTTATTGCCTCATGATAACTGACATCATTTGGTTGGCCTCTTCTCACAGATGATGGAAGTTCTCATATTCTGAATAGGAAGGTGTCTCCAAAATGTATACGCCAGCCAGGTCTCACATGCTGGGGATGCTAAGTGCTAATTACCGTCATCCTCACCTTAATTAGAAAGGCCAGTGCCTCATCACTCACATGTGTTTTCATCTCTTGAGAAGCCATAAAACCTCTCTAACATGAAAGAATATTAAACTGATGATGGGGCAGGTAAAATACGAGCACAGTGCACAACACTTGGGGAGATGTAAATAGCCACCATGAGGCTGAATGCTTGAGATGCCACGAAATGATGAGAAAGGAAGTGCGGAGTCTGAGCCTCTGATGATCATGCTAAGCATTTAGAAAAAGAGGCCCTTAATGTTTGAAAAGACAAATGTTTGCAAATACAGTGCATGCAACTGAAACAAAAGGCTTTATGTTTAACTGCAGCAATCTTTAGTTATCACCCGGTATTAAAGTGCACAAATGGTTCATGAAGCATGCCACGGAAACTGTACCACGCGTGTGTATGTCAGGCAAATCAGAGTCCAGGTATGCATTTTGATTTTATTTTCTAATCAGAAAATAAGTGTTAATGGCAATATTCTTCAGAATTAATTCCTACAAGAATGACCTTTGAACTCTGATATAATAATTTGTTCTGGTAAAATGTTCTCTCTCACACACAGAGGATTGATTATATGATACATGACTAATTTGTTATAAATAACACAATTTATCGCTTTAAAGACGGTTAAATTATCTTAACAATAATCTGCTCAGAAAAAGAATAAGATGTAATTTTGAGGTTAGAGATTCTTAATCCTGGGACGTCTGGCATTTGTTTGGTGCACAGTGATATGTAAAGAGGCTTCACACACTGCCCAGACAACTTAGAACTGACCCTATGTGCAGGACAGGGATCTCTGAGAGCTCAGAAGAGGTTGGAATGTGCAACCAGGGCCAAGGATAGCTGACATGGGCCATGTAGGTAGAACAGTGTTTTCAGAACTGGAAATTTAGGGCTTAATTTCTGCTGGCTGTAAACAAATACATTCTGGATTTATGAAATGCACATTTGAGCAAATTAGGATTACTTTTTGATTCATTCTGATATTGTCACCTCTAATTGTAACAGGTCAACTTGACTACAGTAAGAAATGAGGAGCAGTTCTGGGCATGTCTGTGGATGATTGATGTATAGAACAGCAAACTAGGTGGGGAACATCTGCTCTAGTTGTTGGTGAAACAATCAATAGGCTTGTAGCTTGGGTGGTATAAAAAGGGGCAGAAGCAGGAAGTGCGCCTACTCTGAAGAGCTCCAGGATTCTCTGTGCATCATCATTGGGCATTGGTCTGTACACATCCGGTCTCTCCAGCTTCCACTGTAGGTTCACACAGATTAGTCTCCATGCAGCTTCCAGGCTTTTGAGCTCGGACTGGCGCTGACTCCTTGATCCCAACTTGTTCTGGAGCTTCTGTCTCCCATGGTTTCTGTCTAAGATGTTTTGTTACGATACTGTTGTTCATTGCAAATCCTCTTGCATTATTCGAATTTGAAAATGAGCAATAAACATTTTAATAATGATAAACTCAGAATATTATAAGCACCTAGAAAGTGTTAAAGATTATAAAGTTCTAGGTTTGGAGCACACAGAGAGGGAAAGGAAGAGGAAACTATTGGAAACCAACTCACCCACGCAGAAGTCACTGAGGTCGGTAAAGGAACATTTCAGCAGAGTCTCTTTGTTATTCTCCTCGGGGTTAACTGAAAAAAAAAAAAAAAACATAATAAGCTTTGTAGTTTTGGGAAACTAAACATAAGAACAAAAATTACCTTGGTGTTTAATGTTTATTTGGTGACCAAACATGAATAAACTATTCCAAGTGAATGAGGTGAAATTAGCTATTTAAAATTTACCCTCCATAAGGGAAACTTTGTGCTTTAATTTCTTTATCCTGCTGTACATTTAGTGCATCCTTACTGAACATGGCTATACGCTGACTAAAATATACAGTGGTTTTGCCACATTATCGAAAAGACAATGCTCGTATTTCCAAGTTAGCCAGAGGAAGAAGGAGCCCAGAGGATTCGCGAGGGAATATATTCTAGGAAAAAAGCTGGAAGAGAAAGGGGCGTCGGGAACCAAGGTCATATGTGACCCTCGGCTGTAAGTTGCGTAGGGCTTAAGGGTTTGTCTGAGGAGCAGGCACTCACAGCAGCGTGCCCCAGGTATGTCCAGAGGTTTGTTTTTCTAACGCAGACTCTAGCTGAGGTGTCCCCCAGTTTGTGTTGCAACAGCACAACACTGTGATGTCAACAGCGGTTCACGAGCACGCAGCCAAATCCTCACTGCTGTACGTTCAGTCCTAATTTAAATTTTCCAGGGCCAGGGATTCAGCTCAGTGGTTCTGCTGACTGCCTTGCAAGTGCAAGGATCCCCGGTACTCCCTCCCCCTAAGTTAAATTTTCAGGTTTTCTTTTGAGGAAACGGAATTCTCGCCAGGAGTAGCTTTTCCTAACCCCCGAGATGGAGATGTGGCCTGAGCCCAAGACTCATGAGGCAGGTCGGGCTTTTCCAACTGCCCAGAGCTAATATCAGGTGCAGGCGCTCCGGGCTCGGACCACCTGCAAGGCGAGGGAGAGGAGAAGCACATCCGGCCCACAAACGGCTTCCGGTGCCAGGCTCCTTCCAACGCGGGTCAAACGGACAAGGGAAGGGAGAGAGAAACGGGAGGAAAACCCACCTCCTCCGGCGTTAGACCCGAGGTTTGGAATGGTTGCTCACCTTGCTCTGTGTTGTTGGCAGAGACGAAGGTGACAGAGGTGGGAGCCTGTGACTCATTCTCGGTTGACTGCAAGAGGGAGGTAGATTGGCTCAGGCTGTTGCAAGGAGCGCAGCTCTGGGCCAGGCAGGGCAGGGATCTCCGAGACGGTTTCAGCGGGGTTTCTTTGGTTATTTCACTTTTGCTTATGTTCATTCCTGCAAATCCCAAGCAGTGAGCTTTAGCAAGCAGACACAATGAGCAGAGGTCAAGTAACAATTTCATTCCCTTGAGGGCTCTTCTGGGGAGGGATATTTGAATCGTTTCACCTACGTTGTAGAACTGGCTTGGTTTTGTTTCTGTTTTGTGTGGGAAAGTGAGGTTTCCCTCAAACGCTCCTGAGAAATAAACAGCTTCTTTTCTAGTTTGAGCTTTGACCAATTTTTAAAAAGTTCATGGGATGAAAACCCTGAATACATATTTGGGGAATTATGATAGCAACGATTTGGACTGTCTCGGGATAAACCTCATGATTTGGGTTTTTAAGCAGCAAGTAAATAAACCTAGTTTATTCACATGACTATTAGGAAGCAGAGGCCTTTTCTCAGAGTTCCCTAGATACACACATTTCCTGGAGTGGAATCTAGAGGCACAGTGCAAAAGCTAGACAGGAGGGTAGGGTCAAGAGAGAGAGCATCGCCGTAAGTCCCTCCGCCCTGTCCTGTTCCTGTCTGTCTTGATTCCTGCTGCTTCAATCCCAGGTCAGCCCAGCTCCCGGAACTCCAATTTCCAAAGGCCCAAACCCTGGCGTTTCCCACGGCGTCCCTCCTGCCCCCGCTGCTTCACCACGTCCCTGGAGTTCATAGCAAACGCGCCCACTGCACCGACGGTGATCCCCTTCCTCTGTGGCTGGCACGCGGGTGTCCAGGAAGCTGGCGCACTCGCCCTCTCCTGCTGAGGGGGCCCCTGCCCTGGAGCTCTCCGCTGAGAAAACCCTGCTACTTCCTCCTGGAGCCTCATCTCAGACCAGCCACCTCTTCGTCCTAACTGACTCCTCCTGTTCATTCTTTATCATCCCTCCCTCAAACCAAATCACACTATCCTCCATTTCCGTTCAAGGCAGGGATGGTCTTTTTTTTTTTTTTTAAACAAAGCGGCTTGATCCTGAATCACTCTCTATAAAGTTTCTGATTGACGCTTGAATTAAGCAGCTGGGAATTTATGCTGTGCGCTCCACGTATGAAAATACAAGGCCGAACGTTAAATCCTCTCACTTCAGGACTCCAGATCTGACTAATTCGGGACGCCATCTACACTCGTAACAGATGGGGCCGGAGTCTCAGCATGATCCAGTGCCCGTTACACACCGGGTGCTGTGCTTGCCCGCTGGTTTACTGATATTGTCCTTGCCTTGGTAAGTACATGTGCTGCCCAAGCCAGCACACTGTGTTTATATGTATAAGCACGTACACAAAATAGTTTTTTGACACTCGTAGGAGAGCACAGTGTGTCACATTTCACACTTACTCACCTACTATGTCTCCGCTATTTTTCCATTTCAATCCATACAGAGAGGTCTCAAGATTTTTAAACTACTACAAGGTATTCCAGAGTGTGGGTAAACCACAACACTGACAATGGATGTTTAGATATTTTAATAATTCTATTTGAAAGGAATATTCTTTGAATATTCCTATATGTGTCTTTTTCCCGCAAGATGAGTATTTCTCCAGTGGGAAATACTTAGAGGTAGAACCTCTAGGTGGAAAGACATGAATATTCATTGTTTGGGTAGAAGCTGCCCAACTGTCCTTCCCAAAGCTTTATCTTTCACACTTCAAGAATAGAACAGAATTGCATCCAACTCCTTATGCCTCCACTAATCCTGCAGAGAATCAGCTGTTTTAATTTTGGATGAAATAACAAGTTAACAAACAAAAACAGAAAAGAAAAACCTTCATTGTTTTGATTTTCATTGCACAGGTTGAGCATGTTTTCATGTATTTCTTACCAATTATAATGTTTAAGTGACTTTTTTTCCCCCGGTAATAGGAATTCAGGACTTTTATACTAAGCTACATTCCCAGCCCTTTAAAAAATCTTTATTTTCAGGCAGGGTCTTGCTAGATCTCTATGTTGCCCAGGCTTGGCTTGAACTTGCAGTCCTCTTGCCTCAGCCCCCCAGACCCCTGGGCTATAATGTGAACCACTGCATTCAGGAAAACAGTTTTATGTATGCTGTTAGACTTTTGCCTATTGATTTATAGGTACTCTACCTACAGTGCCTTTCTCATTCATTTCACAACAATGGAGATGCAAATATTGTGATTTCTATTCACACAGGGGAAATGAACACTGGAGCAGAAAAATCATATGCCCTAAATCACAGTGATTACAAAGGGAGTTTACTCACGCCAAATGACCCAATCATGGTGCATCCACAGATGAATTAGAAAATTCCTAAGACATGACCTCACTTTGAAATTTGAAAGATAACCCTCAGCAAATCCCTGTCAATAATGGATAACACTCAAAGCGAATGACACAGACGCGGTGCTCCACTCTATCCCCTCCCTGTTCACCCACATGAATTGCCACTTCTCTACATTAAAGCAAACCTCACATATAATGGGTGAAAGGAGAGAACAGGAATGCATCCTAAATGAATAGATACTTATCACACTAAGAAGCACAAATGGCAAAAAAAATGTTCAACCTCACTGGTCATTCAAGAGAGGCAAATTAAAACAACACTGAGATTTCATCTCACCCCAGAAAGCATGGCTACTATCAAGAAATCAACCAATAACAAATGCTGGCGGGGTTGTGAGGAAAAGGAACCCTTCTCCACTGCTGGTGGCAGCGTAGACTGGTGCAACCACTGTGGAATTCAGTATGGAGATTCATCAAAAAACTGGGATTAGAGGTTCCATTTGACTGAGTTATTCCCCTTCTTAGTGTTTTCCCCAAATAATTAAAAGTATCACACCACAGCGATATATGCACATCCACATTTAGTGGCACAATTTGTAAAAGCTAAATATTGGAAACAGTCCAAATGCCAATCAAGGGATGAATGGGTAAAGATATGTTGTTTATATATAAGGGAGTACTACTCTGCTATAAGAAAACACCTAGTTGGGAAAGGAACCGTCCAAGGTATCCTGAACTTTAAAAATATCGCACAATTCCCTCTAGTGGATAAACAACTGGTATTCTTTATACCACCTCCAAGGGACACAGAGTACAAAGCTCTTCTGGTAAGTTTTTATACTGATGAACTGTCTGTAATATTGCCTGACATTTCCTTTTTTGCGAGACACTGGCATAGAATATTAACTGGCCAGTTTCCTGTTTCTCAGCAGAGTTGAGAATAGCCTTTTACCCCAGTAGAACACCTGTTTCAGAGAATAAATATTCTTGGGGAGAAGGCAAGAGCAATGGGGACTGAAACAGGCAAGGACACTGGGTTTAGAGTGAAATGTTCTGGGCCCCTGAAAAAGTTGTAGCAGGTTCTGTATAATAATACAATACACCTCCATCTAGGATTCCATCCTGTAGTTTCACAGTGCAACAAATTCTACATTTCCTTTTCTCGTAATATTTAGACACAAAAAGTTTCAATGATCCTTTGTGTGAAAGTGAATTATTGGTGACTCTTTCTTATAAACTACTACGACACGAGCCTGATGGAACCACGCTTGCCTGTGCTGTCAGTGTTTTCTGTTAGTTGTCCCATGCACGTGTACACTTCCTCACCTGGGCACCGGATCTCTGCAGGAGCTCTGCTGATGCTGGGAATTTAGCGGAGAGCTAAGCAGACATGCAGTGCCGGCCAATATAGGCCTTCTATCCTGGCAGACAGACATTTGCATATGCATTTGCATATATATATATATGGATAGAGGGTATGTGATAAATACATATACACATAAATAAATGTAAATTAACATGCTCTAAAATGTAGGCTGAATTCTAGAATGGAAAATGATAAAGAGAATCCACTGTGTGAAAAGATAGGAAGTTACAAAACAAAACATGTACGAGTGGGCCGGGGATTTAACTCAGTGGTGCTGTTGCCTGCCTCGCAAGTGCAAGAACCCGAGTTTGATTCCCCAATACTGAAAAAAAAAAAAGAAAAAAGATGTACAAGTGTGAACATGTGGAGTTGCTTTCAGGCCAAAATTAATAACTTGCAAGAAAGCCCTGAGGTAGGAAAGACTGCAATTTATTTACAGAACTGAGAAAATTCATTTGGATTCTAGTAAGAGAGAGAAGCAGGAACCTTTTTCTGGAGTTAAAGAATAAGTATTTGCTGATGCTTTGGGGGAAATTATTTATTAATATATTTTTCTGATTTTTGAAAAGAAATGCATGTCTTCTGTATTTTTCTTGAACAATGGCATTTGCCCAAATTCACAAAACATTTTAAACAATGCTCACTTCATGGACAGGAAATTAAGTGGAGGGAGTATAAGAAATGTATTTACTCATGATCATAAATCTAACAAGTGGCAGAACTGGATTTTAAAATTAGAACCCCTGGCTCCAAAAGCCCGTTATCTGTTCCCTATGCTGCACGGTTCCCCGTGAGTCCAGTGCAGCGGGGCTCATGACCACGGCTCTGCCTGGTACAAACATCTCACAAATTCCAAGCGGGGACCACCGTATCCAGAATCCTAGAACTGAAAAAGAATTCCAAAACTACAGTCCTACACACACAAGCTTAGCAAACTGGGAAATATATTCTGCTGAAACTTGCGTGCCACGCTTGATACAGATGAATAGCGGGAAAACATCTACCCACATCACCGAATTTTATTTCTTGTACTGATCTGTAAAATAACAAATGTGAGGCCTGGGGCTCAAGCACAATGACAGGGCGCTTGGCCGCCATGCAGGAGGCCACGAGTTCAATCCCCACCCAGTGAAAAATTAAAAGTAAAAGATCAGATATGAATGGCATACATTTTATTGTAGTTTAAGTGTCTATAGATGAACAGTTCAAAATCTCACTTCTTAATTCTCAAAGACAGATTTTCACTCCTTGTTTTGTTTTCTAGCATTTCTTCAATGATGCCCAAACAACTCTTTAGCTCTTCCCTGGCGCCTGGCCTGATATCCGTGTGAGGCACAGGACGTTGTTCACACTTAGTGGGAAGCACGTGCTTCAGGCAAGTGTGCAAAGCCAGAGTAAAGTCAGGCACGGCTCACGACG